TCAGTGGACACACGTGCATCTGTCTACATTTTTGTACCTATACGTATACAATTCACAGCAGATTCCTGAAATAAACAGTAGGGGCACAAAAATTCCTATTGAAGTCATGAAGAAATGACATTGTCATGACATTGACATGGTTGCTTCAACAAATGCATTTTTATCTCAAGTTTGCTTTAGTTAATAATATCAGTTAGGGTTTAGTGTGGTTGTTTACTTTTAATTGCGTTACGACATCAGCATTTATAGCGCCACTCACCAAATATTTAATTTTCCAACTGCTGAATAAAACTGAAAATGCTTCAATAGCGTCACTGGGCTCTCGACCAATTCGTACGAATTCGACGCATGATTAAAAAGTCTCTAATTCATACTAATTCATACGACCTCACTCGTACGAATTTGTACGATTTGTCTAAAGCCGCCTTTCCACTGCACACGACATTCGCATACGATTGTCGCATTTCGCCCCCTAGTGTCAGTCGCACGGAACTTTGAAATTGGACGTGAAGCAACCGTTACTCTAGGATATTCACAATGGTAAAATTAAATGTAATGCATGCATGAATATATCTACACAAAACAAATGACCCTCTATTCATCTCAAATAAAAATATAGTAGTATAAATATTGGTTTAATAATTATAAAATATTTTTTCTGCTATATTAAATTACAACCAACATTTTACAGAGCGAGCGTTTACAAAAAAAAACATTAAAGAGTTAAAATATTGGTAATTCTAGCCTCGCGCTCATAGTTTTTATTAGAATACATCACTTCCGGTTGGCCGGTCGCATACGGTCTAGCCGCAGAAGTTCAGATATTTCAACGGATCCAAAGCTCAAAACGGATCCGAATTTTTCGTTTGTCGTGTGCAGTGGAAAGGCGGCTTAAACCCACGTGATGGTTAGGTTTAGGGGTGGGGTAAGGGGTAGGTCATTCGTACGAATTCATACGAATTGGCCAATTCGTAAAATATGTACGATTTAGCAAAATCGTACTAATTCGTACGACCTCACTCACACTTTTTAATCATGCGTCGAATTCGTACGATTTGGTCGTGAGATCGGATTGGCATTTCTCTTTAAATATCACAAAACATGCAAGAATATCAAAAAATTTCACCAGAGGCACATAATTCCAAGGAGCCTGGGCTGGTTAATAAACAAATATGTAAGTTATCAAGCAGCTCACTTTTGATTTTTTCAACGCAGCATTCAGTGGAAAGATATTACTAAATCTTCATCATCGCCTGTCAACTATATCAGGCTGCTCACCTGGGTTACTGAAACTGGCTCTACTCTCTCGTAACATGGGTTAGGGTTAGGATTTTGTAGTATAAAGAGTGTGAGTGCATTAAAATACCCGGATGATGCACATAATTAACTGAAAAAAAGTGGAATGTTGGACACTTGATCCACTCAACTGTTGCATCTTTAAAACGATGTTGGAAAACTACGATGTTGGGTGACAAAATTACCTATCGAATTCCAACGCATTCTCAACCCAAAGCGCCATATACAACGAAATATCCAACGCACATGGCACCCTTTAACGTCTAATGAGACGCTTCGGTTATGGTTAAGTTTAGGTATGGTGTAGGGTAAGGGTTAGACCACTAGGGGGCGCCTTCTGCCCAAATATATCTGCGTCTCATTTGACGTTAAAGGGTGCCATGTGCGTTGGATATTTACGCTTTTGCAAAAGCGTCCTATATGACGCTTTGGGATGAGAACGGGCTCCGAATTCATACACTACAGACGAATGAATACATAGAGCATAGAATAAGTGCATAGTGTAGCTACTCTAAAAAAAGATTAGCTGGTATAGCTTGTAAATACACCAGTCTGAAGACAAAAAGTCCATTTCTGATCTCCCTTGCAAAAAAAATCATGCATTCTAGTGGAATAAGTTGTTTCGCAAGAATATATATAAATCAGAGTAGTAATTATAGCAGATTAGTAGAGGTTCTTGAGATGAAGTTGCTGAATAATTGCTGTTGAAGGGTTTGGGACTGAGCACGTTCACCAGCTAGACCAGCACAAACCAGCATAATGCAGCACCGGTGTTAAGGGCAGCCGCCGAATCTGAGGCGGTTCGTTCAGAGCCTGAGTGAACCAGAGATGTAGGCTAATCCATTTAGAGGCTCAGAGATCTGCTGCGTCACGCTGACACATAACCAGTGCACAAGGGATCAAACATGTACACAAACAAGGGGTTGCTTCTAGTGTTCCTGTCAGGATGCATGTTGCAGTGTCACGTCTTCATCTAGGGCTCGACACTGACGTCTTTAGAGGGGGCACGAAACAAAACAACACTTCATTTTTTCTTATTTTTCGAGATGTTACAGTAAAAGAATAATGACCAACAAATACATTTACTGACTATTTACTGACTCTCCTGCATAATTTGTTTTGCTTCTTTATGAATTACAAACAGACAGAATTTCAAACACTTTTTACAATGCAAAGTTTTTCCGGACACACAAGAGAGATGATGGATAAATATGAAGGTTGCGTACAGAGTTGCAGGCTTTAAAGAGATAAGTCATCCAAATATGAAAAGATCTTTGACGTCACCCATTGACTTCATAAGTATTTTTTTTTCCTACTATGGAAGTCAGTGGGTGCTGTCAATTGGCTTTATGCACAGCCTCACTACTTCCTGAACTTATCCCAGCTCCTTGTTTCCTGTCTTCCATTATTGGACAAACTGATTAATCCAGGTGTGCCTGACCTCAGTAGTCACGGCAACAATAATCAGACACACCTGACTTAATCAAGTTTGGCCAATAATGGCAGACAGGAAACAAGGCTGGCTTAATGAATCATGGAAAATGGATATGTCAAAATAAAAGATTTATTGAACAGCAGCTTGACTATTTCTTCCACTTACTTGCATCTGTATTTTATTTACTCTACATCAACAGAGGGCAGATGCCAGCATGACTTTTGACTTTTAACTGAACTTTCACAATAGGTGTTATATAAGTATAATATAAGATCATGTTTAATAGCATAAAGATTATTTATAGTTCAAAACGACCAGAGGGAAGGATGAAGGATCATATTATTTTCTCAAAATCGTTGATGTGGGGTAAAGTGTGTCAGATGTGATTGTGAGCTTTATAGTGACATTAACAAACTTGTGAAGGCCAAAAGTCAGAGCTGGCAAAGAAAGACTAATACATATTTTAAAGTAAGATAGATTCCCAAGATGCAAATATAAATAATAATAATAATAATAATAATAATAATAATAATCAATAACCATAATAAATAAAATTTCCTGCAGCATTATGTGGAATTATAATGTCTTAGATCTTTTTGTAAAGTGGCCTTATTTCTGTTTCTGAAAGTAAAAAACCTAAATTAAAAAAAGTTTATTACATTAAAATGTTCTAAATATTAAACATTATATATATATATATATATATATATATATATATATATGAAGAGTTCAGATGCAAAAGCCTCTAAATGCCATTTGAAATTTTCTTCTAAAAAAATATAGGACCTTGATAAAAATGATCATTTTAGAAGAAAATTTCAAATGGCACTTAGAGGCTTTTGCATCTGAACTCTTCATATATATATATATATATATATATATAGGCTATATATATATATATATATATATATATATATATATATTATACAGGTACAGAAAGTTGTATTCAGGTAAACATTATCTAAAATAAAATCATCTCATAGCCCTCTTAGCAATAATAATGTATTGCACATTTTGTTGCCTCAACACTGGCACTTGAACAACACAGGTTGATCGGGGTAAGTTCCAGAAGTTCAGTCTAGAACACAAGCCTGTTTGATATCTGTGAAAGAACTCCACCTTGTGGTGACTGTGAGAACAAACATCAAACATAACAAATTACGTAAAAAAAAAAAAAAAAAAAAAAAAAAATTGCGTTGCACTGTGGGATTAAAGTTTTGTTTTTGAGTCACCATTGGAGTTAAGTATTTTTATTTGTCTGTGAGCTTTTACCTTCATTTACCTGTTCCCATTTAGGGAAATATTATCAGAGCCTACATTTTTTAAATGTTTTAGGGTTTTATTTATACAATAAAATAAAATGTAATCGTTGGTTTTGTTACTTAGTGTTGTCAGCATTTAAATTAGCATGTTTGCTTTTAACATGTTACAGTTTCATTTTTCTAGCAAGTTTTCATGTTTCTAACATGTTCCCAATGTGTTTTAGCACGATAGCATGGTTTTAGCATGTTGTTTCATTACTAGAATGTGTTTTTAGCACATTGTTGGGATGTTTACAGTGACTGCAAGTATGTTGCTAGCATGTTTAATCATGCTGCTAGCATGTTTTAATACTGGCTGGCATGTGTTAACATGCTAGCATTGTTGCATAGCAAAATGGACATCAGTAGTATAGCCTACAATCATAAGTTGTGACCATATAAGAGATTATTGCAGGTCTACAATGTTTCAATAACATTAATCGGTTTGGTCATAGTGCACACATCAGTCAACGTAATAAACTGTAAAAGTACCGACAGACTCATACTTTTAAACCAGATTTCCATCCAGCTTGCATAGCCTACAGTTGGCCGTATACAAACAGTATAATCACACAAAGCTATAATATGTTATAGTAAATCTCAACTATTGCGTTTAGATAACCATAGGCCTAAACTATTGAACATCTTTTTAACTGCTTAATGTAGAAAATAGGGCATTAAAGTATTATAAACATTAATATCATGAATTTCTGTAGAGCTGGCAATTGAAACAATGTATTAGCCTATTGTGAACTACAGTAAAAAGTGCGCCTAACCAGGAAAATACTGCACACAATTTTTGTTTACAGTGCACCTTGTGCAAATAGCAAACACTACTGTTTGCAGATGTTATATTATATTTGACATTTGCAATATGAAGCTGTGGCAGGATATTTAGGACGTCATGGCAGGGTATACTATACAAGTGCAAACAATTCTGAAACAATTGAGCAATTTTTCATCCCATCAGACGACAGAAACCACCCCCTCTGCCACACGTCCACATCCTGCTACTCAGGATATGTTGTGTGTCTGTGCTGGGAGCTCAGCTGTACTTTAGACCTGTGCTGTTTTATGTTTATGCCTCACAGCATCACTAAAATGATCTTCTCAATAGTTATTCTTTTGCTTATTTCTGTCCCTGCATCACAAGGTAAGACAAAGTGCATGCAATTTTAAAGATTTTGCTGTTGATTTTACCTTAATATAATAATTTGATATTCATTTAAAAATAAGAGGCCTACATACGAGAAGTGTTTGATTATGTATTCATTAATTAATAATACAAAATAGAATGTTTTTGTTACGTATTCAAATGTCAGATAATCCTACATTTGTTTATTTATTGTTATTTAAAATATATATATATATATATGATTCAAGTCAACTAAAGAACACAATCAAATGAAAGAAAGAAAGAAATATTAAAATTCTGTAGAATCAACTTTAACTTGTGAAAACATGAATTAAATTTAATTTAATTTGGCTAATGTGGAAAAAGCAATATTTAAGTTGGTAAAATGATAGGCCTAATGGTTTACATATAACAATTGGATTTATTGACGGTTAATATATAAACCTGGATATTGTGTATTCAGAACAGATTCAGTTTATTAGTACTAGTAGGCCTACATACATTTTATTCTTGTTTAGTTTAAATATGCATCACATACTGTACATTTATTAGTTAATTTTAAAACTGATTTATTGGATTGGATGGAAACTATGCCATTCAAATATATAAATCTTGAAAATAGGCCTATTTTAAAAGGGTTAGTTCACCCAAAAATGTCATTAATGACTCACCCTCACGTCATTCCAAGCCCGTAAGACCTTCGTTCATCTGCGGAACACAGTTTAAGATATTTTAGATTTAGTCCGAGAGTTTTCTGTCCCTCTATTGTATACTGTCCTTGTCCAGAAAGGAAATAAAGACATCAGAGTAGTCCATGTGACATCATTGGGTTAGTTAGAATGTTGTGAAGCATTCATTTTTTGGTGAACTAACCCTTTAAGTGTTGTTTTTAAAAATTGTTGATTTTTACATTTAAAACATCACTTTTTTTTTTTTTTTTACTGCACTTTCAGATATTATTTACAGAAGCATGTACACTGCTCTTTGCAATACTTGTTTTTGTGAGAATAAGAATAAAATTAAGCCTCTTTCAGGGTTTCCCTTTCTATAAACAACCCGGTCTCACCCCAAGACGTCATATAACTGACGTTTTGGGACGTCTTTTGACCATACGTCAATATTCGCCTTTTTAGGGCCCCCTTAAACGTCGGTAGATGAGGTTATGGGATCCTAACTCTACCCCATACCTAAACCTAACCCTAAACCTAACCCGTCACCTAACTGACGTTAAAGGTAAAGCGTCAGTTGTATGACGGCCCGGGATCGCCATCTACCGACGTTTAAGGGGGCCCTAAAAAGGCTGATATTGACGTATGGTCAAAATACGTCCCAAAACGTCAGTTATATGACTTTTTGGGATGAGACTGTGTTACTATAAAAAGCACTTTGGGTGCAAAGCACTATGTAAATGTATTAAATTACTAATTTATTATTTTCACTAGTTAAGTAGTTTTTTTTCCCCAGTGGAACACACACAAAAAATAATTGTTACACATATCACAAAATCTCATAAAACAAGTCCATGTTACTGGAACACTAAGCTGTCTTCCAAGTCTCCTGAAGCTGTGATAGCTTTTGTGTTAGAAAGAAAACAAAATTTAACATCCAGTTTCCAAATTGAAATTTTTATACCTGTCAAATGTGGTCACTTTGAACTGTTGTTCTGTGTCAATAACTGTGCAAATATTCTTCAACAAAGCCTCTTGTTGTATTCCACTGGGGAAAATGTCTTTGGAACAACATTAGGACAAGTATAACTACTGAATTATCATTTTTAGGGTGAACTATTCCATTAACTTGAATCTGAATCTGGATATTTGATTAGTTAACCTCTCTGAGCACCTTTATACTTTATACAGAGGCATCCACTGCCATGGGACGCTCTGAATATACTTCTGTGTCACTGACTACAACACAACAAATCATCACCACCGTCGACTCAACTGCAACAACATTTTTAGAAAAAACAAACAGCAAAGTCACAGGTACAAGATTCAACAGAAACGTGCACTGGATTGACTGAGATAACTCAAGATCGAGGTCATGGTTGCTTAGTTCCTTCATGATGAAGGAACTAACCAACAAATACAAAAAAACAAAAAACAAACAAACTAAGGAACAAAAGACAAATAGTCTTTTTTTTAATCCACATTGGAAAACTCAAGAGATCCAGACTGATCTCATGAAGTTGCGTGTGTATGCCACGCCAATTCGTATTTCCATTTTTGGCGTGCTATCAAGACGCATAATCGCCTTTCAGCGTGTTTATGAACGCCGTTGACTTAACGTTATATAAATATATGACTTACCTCAACCCCGTCCCTAAACCTAACCGTCACTGGGGTTAATGGCATCTATGACTGTTCCCTTACCATCCTAGGTAAAAAAAAGATATGACTTACCTCAACCCCATCCCTAAACTTAACCGTCACTGGGGTTAATGGCATTTATGACTGGAGATTTGACGGCGTGTTCAGACACGCGGAATGATGCGGACGTTAATGGCGTAGACATATACGCATACACGCGGATAGCTCAAAATGCGTAGAGATAACACGCCACCTGACTCGAAAGTGGCGTATATGTCTACGCAAAAGTCATGATGTCATGTTGAGAGATCATAGGAGTAAACACAATCACTTTTAACATAGATGATACCAGATAAAGGAACTAAGAAAACATAGGACTTAAATTTCTGCGGAGAGTAATGTGAACAGAAACAGGTGTGAGGAACTAATAGGGGATTATCACGCTTCCGGGTTTCATGGGCGGGATTTGTCAACTTTGTGCATGTCCACTTCTGACGCAGTTCAACAATGCCTGAGACGAAGGCTATATATGTCACTGCTCTGTTCCACTTTGCAAATCTAACCAACAACGCCAACCCAACCTAAGTTTTCATGGATTCCCGACTGAATTGAGTATAAGGAAGAAGTGGATTAAAACTTTAAAATAAAACAAGGGAGCACGTTTGTTTGCAGCCGTCACTTTAGTGAATCAGACTAATTTACCAGGGATGCCTACGCTATCTCACGACCAATTCGTACGAATTCGTACGAGTGATTCAAAAGTGGCTAATTCGTACTAATTCATACGACCTCACTCGTACAACTTTGTATGATTTGTCTAAACCCACGTGACGGTTATGTTTAGGGGCGGGGTCAGGGGTAGGTCATTCGTACGAATTCATACGAATTAGCTAATTCGTAAAATATGTACGATTTAGCAAAATCGTACTGATTCGTACGAGTTACGAATTAGCCACCTCGTAAAATTCGTACGAATTCCCGTGAGATCGGGTTGGGGATGGCGTATAAATAAACTTAGTGTAGTCCTTCATCAGTTTGCCAGCGAGATCGGTGATTCAACGGAAGTGGCAGTGCACAAAGATCACAGAATCCGGAAGTACTATGTATCAGCGTGATAATCCCTTATTAACCAGCCTGTTCTCAAGTAAATGCCTCTCTATAACACGCATCGTGTATTGTTGTGTAAAACAATTTTTTTTTAGCTGGGTTAACTGTATTACACTGTAGAACTACTACAGATTCATTGCTTTATAACCAGATTTACATATCACAGCACAATGTATTATTAACTTCATATATTATTATCACTTTTATAATAACAGAGACAGTACAACCTGAAAGTCCAAGAACCCAGACATCCACTTACATGACTTCTGGAGATACTTCTGAGACACTGACCACAACACAACAAACCATAATTCAACAAACAACAACGGATGTAGCCAACAACACTCAGACGACCTCTTCACAATCTCTTCTGACAATTCTGACAACCGAATCTGCGATTACCATCGTCAACTCAACTGAAACATTTTCAGAAAAACCAAACGGAACAGCAGGTAGAAGATTCAACACAAATACTGTATAGACTGAGATAACACAAGATCAAATTCATTTGCACAGTTTCCAGAGCTGTGCTGTATTAGCACAACATTTCAGGCTATCGGCTTAAGTATACCTCTGTGTTTGTTGATTTATATATTAATGTGGTTGATTTATCTCCGTCTTTTATAGCTCAGGGAGACAGAGAAGGACAAGACGTGGCAGTAAATCCAGGGCTCATTGCAGTTCTGTGTATTTTCTGCATTGTGATGGCTGTAGTTGTTGTGGTTGTGATAGTAAAGGCGGTTCGCTCCAGAAGGCCACATTTTGAGAGGCTTGATGATGTATCAATGGTGAGTCTCAAATGGTTCTGTATAAACATCAACGTTTCCTTATTATTTTAGCATTTTCTTCTGGCTGTGAATTTTTGGCAGCCCATGGTAAAAGTTTAATCTCACTAATGGTAAAGTTCTCAATATACTATGATTTGGAGTCAGTCTGTCAAACCCAACATTCTCAATTTCATATATGTTTTAGCCAATAACTTTTGAACCAAATCTAGAATATATATATATATATATATATATATATATATACACACACACACACACACTCAAAAAAATAACTCGTTGAATGAACATAAAACAAATCATGGAAAGGATTTTGCTTTATTTCAACATTATGCAATACTGTTATTCCAATTTAATGTACTTACGTTGGGTCAACTTAATTTATTAAGGTTGATTCAACTTATTTACTATGGTTGGGCACAGCTTATTTTTATAGTGTCAGCCCAACTAGTTTGTACTGTTTTAGACCAACTGATACTGTGTGATTCAGGTATTGTAATTCATATGTCCATTCATTCAATGCAATGTAGTTTATTTTAGTGTCACACTAATCTAATTTTAGACTATATCCAACTATTTACTGCCAGTACCACTTTTTAGTATCTTTAATGACAAGATTTACGTGCATCATTAGTCAAGGCATTTGCTATGAGTGGTGCTGAATCAGTAATTTAAATGGTCCTAATAATTTCAATAACGGGTTGCAACTATGTAAAGTCTTCCCCTTTTCTCGTTTTATCCAAAACACATTAAATAACACTTAATTTCAACATTTATATTTATATTTCAACATATGCAACTAACAAGCACCGCCCAGTTTCAGTTAATCCAACACAAATGGATTAGGTAAACTTAAATTTTACATATATTCAAGCAGATTGAACACAATTAAATTAAGTTTGGTCAAAATGTACAGCAATTGTGATGCTTAAGCTAATTTTAACAAGCAGCAAAAATCATTTTTTCAGTGTATATATAAAAACTTATTATGCTTGGGAAGATATAATACGGTAACTTGTTTTTTCTTTTTCTTTTAACAGGGCAAGATGAGTGAGGACGCACCATTTGCCCACTATCCTCCAAAATGAAGGGCAGCTTCTGTCTCAACAAACTGCATAGTTATGCCTCTCATATTTTTCTTGTTTGTTTCTAAATGAAATGCAACATTTTAATTTATAGACTTGATGTGCAATACACAGTGTATTTAGGAAATCTGATAATAATGTGATTATTTTTTTTTCTTAAAATGCCACAACCCACAACAAACCTTTTATTAGTTTAACGTTAATTTAGTTTAATTGCCCATTTCTTTTGATAAAAGCTATACTTTATGCTAAATGATTACATGTAATTTTAATGTAAAATGTCCATAAGGATAAACGCACTCTGAAGACCATGTTGTGTCAAGAACATTTGTACTGTCAATATTATTGTCAGACACTATGATGGGAGTGTGATATTTTCAGCTTGTCCTCCAGATGGCGACCAAATTGCTCGCAAGCTGTTGTGTATAATGTGCTTATAAAGACCTGATCTTTTAATATTATTTGAGAACTGATATATATGTATATATATTAGGGCTGTGCAAAAATTAATTGCGATTAATCGCATCCAAAATAAAAGTCTGTTTACAGTGTTTACATAATATATTTGTGTGTGCAGTATATAATTATTTTGTATATATAAATACACACACATGCATGTATATATTTAAGAAAATGTGTTATTCATATATAAAATATTTATATTTATATAATATAGATTATGTATTTATAAATATATACAGAATTTAAGCGCAAATAATTCTTAAATATATACATGCATGTGTGTGTATTTATATATAGAAAATAATTATATACAGTACACACAAATATATTATGTAAACACAGACTTTTATTTTGGATGCAATTAATCGCAATTAATTTTTGCACAGCCCTAATATATATATATATATATATATATATATATATATATATATATATATATATATATATATACTGTTAACCCTAACGGTCAAAATAATTAATTGGTTTGAGTAGGACAAACTTAAATTCAACGAATTAGTTCAGTTAAATTAATTTTTATGCGTATTTAGCACTTTCTTTTTCTTTCAAGTTCACAGAACTGATATATTTTAAGTAAACTGAACTGTTTCATTATTTTGAGTTTTATGAAATTATTTAATTTAATTTAGACGAACTTAAGTTTAACTGAAACGGCTGGGATATCTATTTCCCAGCATGCTTTGCCGATGGCACTCGAAAGAGAGTGTAAATGCTAAAATTAAGTGCAATATAATGTTTTTTTTTTGTGTGTAAGATTAATGTTAAGTGTGAGATTTAGTAGTGATTAATGTTTTGTTATGCTAATTTAGAAGATTTTCTGTTATGTTGGCTTTAGGATAGTTACCATCATGGTGAAAAGTGGTGCATTGCAGCTTGATTTGAGAGTAAATTATCCCTTTATATTATTACGCTCATACAGCAAGTGCTTCTGTGCAGCAAATCGAGGGCTTGGAGCCAGAAGAGCATAAGTGGCTTTAACAAACTTTACAGGAGAGACAAAACAAAATTTTTACCACGCTTCAATCACCTGTATTATTAACCTTAAACCACAGACATTGCAACCACAGGCATACTTACATGAAATGAGTATTTAAGTAAAAAAATGTATTGGCATATTAACACAATGAACATGTTCTAAAACATTTTCAAAAAGTCAAATACGTCAGATACGCCTTTTTGTTGCTTTATTCAATACAGTTTGATCTCAGATAGGTATTTTGGCACCATTGGATAGAGCTCATCGAGACCTTTATTTTGATATAAAGAACTCAAATTCGCCCAAAATGCCTCCAAGCCCTCAAAATTAGCTTTTAAAGCTAACTAAGTTTATACTATTAAAAGTGATTTGAGTTCTGCCAACTTATTCGGGTTTACAGTGTACTACATAGATTTAAGTTATAGTAACTAATTAGTACTATTAACTTTATTTACCCAAGTTATCTTAACAATAAGTTATTGAGTTACTTGGAAACAAATCAAATATTTTTTATGCTTAAATTGTTTGAGTTAATAAACTTAAAGGATTTAAGGTAATCGGTTTCCTCAAACGGTTTGAGTTGATATATTAAAGTCCCAGTCAAATAACAAATGTCTTTTAATGGAAGTATTGGCAAGGGACCAACTACCAGGAATTTAACCCTGTAAAGCCTGAAATAGGAATATACAGTATCATCTATTTTTTTTTTTTTGTATCATATTTGATACATCAGGCTTTTATGGCCAATATGCTATGATGATACATGCTCACACTCAAGGAGGGGAAAAGAAACATCTCAAATATTTTTCAGAGACCAAACTAAATAAAACTATCCAATTTGTTGCAGATGTTGTTACTGTATTTATATGGCCAAAATGTAATATGAAATCGTGTAATGTAAAACAATGATGTTTTCAGATTCCTCACTTACAAGTTACTTTTCTAAAAAATAAAAATAAAATCAGAATAATAAAAAGTGATGAATGAAGTGATGAAGACATGTGCATGTACAACTGAGATTAGACAAATGTTAAAGTACGTTACATCTTAGCATCTCATGTGAACTGTTTAAGGACAGCATGCTCTCATTGTTTACATCAAGACTTTCTTACCATGTGACTGGATCCGCGTCACTGAAATGAGTGGTTCAGAGTTTGAAGTCTAAAACCTTTCACCTCGAATATAAACTGAAGCATTGTGAACAGAACTGCAGAACAGACACACCTGTACGACACTCCCCTCCTTCTGCACAGGAATCCACGTAAGGCCTTTTCTTCTTTCTTCACGTCTTCTTCTGCTGCATTTACAGATGTTGTATTCCCAGACGTTTTCACTGTATATTTAACATATTATTACCAAGTTCAGGGTCTTAGTGAAATATTTCACTTCACTGGCTCAATGAAAGTTTCAGTTTATTATACGATTTGAAACTGTTTGTCTTAATCAGGTCTCAAGGGGCCACTTGTAAAACGTTTTATGATTGCAAGGGTATATATGACCTTTTTCTTTTTTTTTGGCTTATTATTCAACAAAAAGTTCTTACATGTGTTCTTAGTTTTTAGTGCTTTCAATTGGTATAGAAAATCAAGTCACTATCTACAGTATAAATTATACACAAGAAAGTTACACATATGAAGTTAAAACTTGTTTCAGTGGAGTCCTTAAAGAAAAACTCTTTAAAAACTTTTAGTTTCAGTTCAGTTCTCATTAAAGAGTAACACCGATCTAAATCTAATAAACCCAGTCAAACAATGAACGTTTATTGACCAATGTTGGTCAGCATAGCACTGTAATGTTTGGCTATTCTACTTCAAATACGGTGCAGTGTGAACTGTATATTATATGCTATTTTTTTTTTTTAAAGAAAAGCAGTAGCCTACATATAATTCTTTGATAAACATTTCATACGTGCATGTTAGATTATTTTGGCATGACCTCTTAATGTTACATGTTTAATTAAAGGTGTTGCATTCCCATTCATCATAATAAAAAATCATAATAAAAGATGCTGTCGACTTATCTTAATTATAATCAATCTTTAGGGACCCCCTACAAAATATTCATAAGACCACAGAACATTTTTAGCTTGGCATTTTGCATGTATTATGATTACATACATTTTTGTAAAATAGAAACATTAATATTATAGGAGATGTTTATCAGTAATTTTCCTTTGGCTCCCGATCAGTAGCACAAAAACTATTTTGGTGTCCAGAACTAAGCGCTTATGAACAAACATTCACAAACAGTGTAATGATATACTATACACACTGCATCAAGGATTTTATGGTAGTATGATATTCCCAACATGCCATGTCAGAATTACTGTAATCACGAGATTCGACTTTCGTCTTTATAGAAGCCGTCAGTGCCGCTAGCCATTTTGATGCCCTAAGGATAATTCCTTCATAACCCATAGTTAATCTCTGAATTTTCAACTTCAGTACTTAGTTTTTTTTATTGTTAATATCTTAATGATGCAAGAATAATCTGAAAATAAAAGGCATACAATGCAGTTTAATGATGTAATATTCAATAACTAGGCCTATGATGTAACTGGTCATACTCAAACTGCTCTGGGGTGTGTTTGCCGAAAGCATCATTAGCCAACTGTGGTCGCAAGTTCCGTCGTATCAGCATAGTTCAACGAGTCGGTGTTTCCCGAAACCATCGTTCCAACGAACATTCGCAAACAGCATCGCAAAGTTGTGTGGTTTGAACGACAGCTCTCGACCTGTAGATAGAGGCATCATTTCTATATTGCATCACATTTTGAGGTAATAAATCATTATCTTGAGCAAAATAAGCAAGCTGACATTCAGTACAACCGGTGTCTTTTATTTTAGAATAAATACAAATGGAATTTACTAGGGGTGTAACGGTACACAAAAAACACGGTTCGGTACGTACCTCGGTTTTAAAGTCACGGTTCGGTACGTTTTCGATACAGCAAAAAGAAAGAAATGCCAGAGAAATTTCCTATTTGTTTAAAGAAAAAATATTTTTAAATAAGTGTGAGTTTTCCTAGATCTTGAAACTTTCAGGTTTATAAATAGGGGTCATCTTTGAAGGATGAACAAATAATGTTTTGGTCATCACATTAAAAATAACATTTAAATATATATTTATTTATATAATATTTGAATTTTGAAATGCTGTAAAAAGATGTGTAAAGTACTTGAAAGCATTTCACCATTCCAGCCAAACTGGTTATAGTGTTACTATCCCAGACAGCAAACTGACATTGAATCAACGTGGAAACGACGTCTCTCATGACATTGAAACAACGTTGATTTTGCTCATCGAATTAACGTTGAACCAACGTCAGACGCGGCATTCTTCAGAGCTAAATGAAAATCGAAAATTGGTTTGCTTTCATAACGTTGAAACAACGCGTTAGTTTTTTTTAATTTTCCGTTTTTGAAAGAATGACGCGTCTGACGTTGGTTCAACGTTAATTCGATGAGCAAAACAATGTCAGATCAACGTTGTTTCTATGTCATATTTCCACGTTGATTCAATGTCAGTTTGCTATCTGGGATATTAAATCCATGGTGAATGTTGCTGGTCTGTGGACGTAAAGTACTAGTTCATTCACGGCACAATGTTTCTCCTGGTTTCCATGACAGCGCTGTTTGATCTAATAGAGATCTACGGTTAATAACGGAGAAATGTGAATGCATCTCACTAGATCTCGCAGCGATGTTATTACCTCAGTGGCGAATCCAAATGTTTTCTTTACCGGATCTCTTAGCACGGTGTGGTAACAGTGTTGCTTGATCAAGATCGGCTCGCGCTGCACTGTTGCTGGTCCGAACTGATAAACGATCCGTGAAGCACATAACGAGGAGCGCA